TTGGGACCCTGACTTGTCTCACTTTCTTTGTGCCTGCCGACCACGCCACATCGAATAGATAGATTATCCATATGAAATACTTTATTTTGTTCTAAGTAATCAATCAATTCTGCGCTTCTTGGAGGTATTGAATGTGATTTATTATATTGTCTTGTTATTTTGTGTAATTAGTTGTTCGTTATTTATCACACATTTTCGCATAATTGTACCAAACTACTAAGTATTAGCTGTTTACAGCAATCATCGGTGGCTTGCTATTTTGTTACTTTATCGACGCTTCATAAACCAATCGTTATTGTTTCAAGATGGAGGGTAAATGTGTTGGAGAAGGGTGTCAAGTATACTTCAAGAAACGTAGTGGCAATAAGAACAGAAGTGCACGCAATGTAAATAGTCCACAATATAAATGGCTCCTAGATACGCTGGTGCAACAAGGATTGATGTCAGCAAAGGAACAAGCACTTATTTGCCAGAAGTGCTACATGAAGTATCTTCGGAACAAAAATCAGCCTGAACCTGAACCCGAGCAGAACCAGGAAATAGAGGAAGAAGACGACTCCCCGTCCCATATCCTGCCGTTGCTGACCCTTCATGATCTTTTGAATGGATCATCTTCACACAAAAAATGCTGTCTCTGTCTTGTTACCTTTGCAAGAAATGGAACAAAATCATCAGTCTTACCAAAACGTGCAAGACATCACCTGATCTATTCACACAAACTGTGGTGTCCCACCTCATCCCGCGTCTGCTCCATTCACCTTATTGGTAACGACTTAGATCCGTCTACAGAGGTTGTCCTTGATGGTAGAGGTTCCTTGGAATCTCAGTTACCATCAAAATCGTCCGAAATCATTAATGACCTCCTAGAGGTGTCGCACGTCCTTTCACAGAACCAGTCTGCGTTTACAATAAGCTTTTCTTCTCTTGATGACTCGGCATGCATGGCCTGGACAGGTTGGTCCAAAGATCAGTTCCTCGAAATCCACTCGCACTGTTCCCCATATCTTTCATCTGGTATATATACCAAGACTACACACGATGCTCTATTACTGTTCTGGGTAAAACTGAAAACCGACATTTCCTGGAGTCAGTGTTCTTCTCTTTTTGGAATTTCCAAGTCAAGTGTGTCCAAAACTTTCCACTCCATAGTACAGGCATTAGACACATCGATAGTCCCACAATTTCTAGGTCCGGATCACTTGACAAGAGAACAGTTGCTCGGGCACAATACTGTCTTTTCAGAAGCATTTTTTGGAGATAAAGCCACTGCCATATTAGATGGCACCTATATTTATATCCAGAAAAGCTCCGACCACAAGCTCCAGAGAATGTCCTACTGTGGCCAGAAGAAGAGAAACTATCTCAAATTCATGAGCATCGCCTTACCAGATGGCTACATTCTGGACACAGTAGGACCATTCACTGGCAGCGAAAATGATGCTACAATTACAAAAAAAGTCATGGACAAGCTAGTTACTTGGCTACAACCAGACGACAACGTTGTCGTTGACCGAGGTTTTAGAGATGTCCTACCAGTTCTCGAAGCCTCTGGCCTCAATGCTAGCATGCCGTCATACCTGAAACCCGGTCAAAGTCAACATTCTGACGTCCAAGCAAATCTTGACAGAACTATCACCAAATCGAGGTGGATTGTGGAATCCTATCATGGTCGTCTGAAACACTGGACGTTCTTCCGAACGCAATTGGTGTCTAACAGCTTTATCAATGTCATCGAGGCTTTGCTTCGAACCGTCACAGCCTGTCTGAATGGTATTAGAGGACCGATCTACCAGAGATCTCCAGAGAGAGATGCCAAAGATAGGCTAATGGCTGAACGTATGAAGGACCGTTTGACAACACCGAATGGTTTAGCTCAGAGAGTCAAGACAGATCCGGATCTATCTAGACGGGCAAGGTCCGAGTTTGTCAAGATGGATGCATCTTCCGTACTGTTTCCCCGTCTCGATCTTGATTACTTGAGAACCATTACGTGTGGAACGTATCAGATATCTCTGGCTCCTGGTTACATCGCCGAACATTTAAGTGATGACGGAGACTATGAGGTGTGGCTTTACCAGCACTCCCCAGACCTTCTCCGATGTCAAATACATTCTCGACACAAAAGCCAAACGAAATATAACGTTTGGATACGGTTCACCGTTTCACCCGATGTTGAGGCCCCAATAAAGGACTACTACTGCCAGTGCCCAGTTGGAGAGAGAACGATGGGAATGTGTGCGCACATCTCCAGTATCTTGTACTACCTTGGGTATTACAGGACGCTGGAAAACCCTCGACCATTACAACCACAGGTAAAGAAATTCCGACAAAACTTGAAATAGTTTTCCATGCGGCAACGGAGTGCATATGTCGAAAGTATGTTTGGGGCTCGATATGAAAGATCCCCGTTACCATGTGACTAACCAAACTTATAAATATAGGTATTATACAATCGCCCGTAGCTATGAACACTCCCGTAAATGCGAAAACCAACCAAAATCATAAGGAACACGTTTTGTTTGTTGTTCTGTCTATTTGTCAGCCAATGTCTTCAACCACGGGGACTTGTGAAGTAGCCATCTTGGATTTTTTTTATGAAAAAGTGTTTCTCTCACTTTTTTTCATATCTGTGTACATATTCTCAACATACCGAGCAAATACTCTCGTTTTTTTGTTAATTATCTAAAGAAAGTCGAAAATCGGCAATTCAACCATAGGCTAATTCAACCCAACATTTGAAAATGTTCCACCACTTACATTTTGATGATTTTTCCTCTCATCAATAGCATATTACGTACTGTTTAATAGGATAAAAATTGGTTTGCATCCAACGCCCATAAAAGGGTGTATTCTCTAAAAAACACAGTTTTTGTGTCTAAAATGTTATCATCGAAAATGGCATTTTTGAGATTGTTTCTTCCATAAAACAGCCAAATGGCGCGATGGAAACATGATTTTTTGTCACAATCATGCCATGAATGTATTCTTTACGGTGACCATCATTTGATTAGATTTTCATTAATATTTTACATAACATGCACATTTTATCAACACTTAGACAGCTTCTGAAAGGTACAACTTTGAGGAGCCATAAAAAACAAACCAAGTGACCTAAATCTTTATACTTTATAGATTTGTGACCACAACGGCATGGGCAATGCACCACCAACAGGAAATTTGAATCAGAGAAGGGGCCGTTTTGGAAACCGGCCCTTTGTAAAATTGGTCCATTTCCCTATCACCGATATCGGTTCAATTTCGGTAGAGGTAACGCTGCACATAAATTATCGCTTAATGTCTATCACTAAACGTACTAAACTATGGTTACCTTTAACGTATAGAGTGTATAGATTTATTTTCTTTAATTTTTAGAAACAAATATGCAATCACACAAAAAGAATGGAAATTTGACCTTCCATGTCATAACATTCAACACATTCTTGTTCAACAAGGTATATTTTGCTAAGATTAATCCATATTTTCTTCACATTTGATATTTTTATTAATATCATAACCGATAAATCACAGATATGAATACATTTCCTGGACACTCATCAGATGCACCGATATGTATATTCATCATGCTTTTAAACAAACATAGCATTCACATGGGCACATTCAGGAAGGTTAAACATATATGATATATTCACATTTGTTTTATGCATGCACCATTAGGGTAAAATGAAGTTCAGTCTGCATATAAATGATTTTGCAGTTTCTTAATTCTATGGCGAATCTAACTTCTGTATAACGTACAGTAAATATATATATATTTTACCAGTATTCTTATTTCAGCGCGTTTTTTGCGCTTTTAAATTGTGCGCTTAATTATGAATGCTATAATTGAAGTTTTCACCTGTTTTGTATTGCATATATCGTATGCATTGACAAGTGTATCTGTTAAAATTTGATGAAAAGCTAAAATTTGATGTTAAAATTTGAGTTCGCTGAAATTTTTTTTTTAAAGTAATTGTATAGCTTATTAAACCTATTTTACTATTATTTATTTGTATTTGTTTCTCTATGGAGTTATTGATATATTCTGCCAAAAGTGTGTAAACAGCTGAAGAGCCTACCAATTTGACTGGTATTAGACCCAAACAGTAGACAACATCAAGCTCAGGCAAACATAAAAGTCAGGGTTAAATATCATGTACTTATTCGTACAATTGTGATAAAGACAAGGTTACATATATACTCATGATTAAAGGTGCGAAACAATACTAACGGTAACAATATTGAAAGTATATTTAAAAAAAGAAAGCGCCTATATTATATGTCGCGTCACGATTCATCGTCATAATTATAATTCATTTCTGAACTTTCATCAAAGTTTAAACAAAAGTCAAGTATGAAAACACCTTGGATGAGTTTGTATTTCAGGTTCCAATGCTATTAATGGGTCAACCGCAGACTCAAGGGAACATTTATATGTTACAGACGTTTTCTAGTGTTTTCGACAAATGGAAAACACCGGTACAAAAAACAAAATCTATAATATCAGATAATCGATTATAAAAAGTATACTGAACATTCACGACAATGTTTTTATTAAAGATATCACGATTTTTTTATTTTATAAATAACATATTTTGAATATATAAATACGATTGGGCATATCAACAAAAGATTTACGGTATAAAATAGTTTTATAGTATGAATCACCATTTAGAGCATAAATAATTGGATATTCAAATAGTGCGACATTTGACACTCCTCTTACACAGCACGAGTCTTTGTTCTTTAAGTTACTGTCACTGTTTTGAGATGATGTTTGAGTGACATGCATACATGATTCACCTTGCGCTATAAAGATGACATATGCAGTCTTAAACTGACTCTACATGTGTGAGGTACAAGTCGTCAAAACATGCAGGATAATATCTAAATTTTATCTATGTACTGATCTGTCATGTATTTATACAGTTGTGTGAAATAGTCATTTGCGGTTGTAGTACAGCCTTATGCCAACGATTATTTACAAATACTTATTTTTTTAGCAGTGAATGGAGACTGGTACGAGTTAGTATTTGCATCGGTATCAAAGCAAAGTTGAATCTCATGAATTCCATATGCCATCTAAAGGTCGAGCTGGGAATACACTATAATACAAGGACATGAGCTCAGAAGGATGTAAAATGCGGTACGTATCAAATTAATGTCTTTTTCTAACAGTTATTTCAGGCAAACATCTTATTAATCTCAGTAATGAAAAAAATAAAATGAGACAGTTAACAAAAAGTATGTTGTCGACGCGTTTTGAATGTTGCAGCAAATTCCTATTTCAACTGTCCCTGGCAGAATGATGCTTACAGGTAATACATGTATATAACACAGTACAAATATGATGAAATATTGTTTTACTTAATGAAGAACATTTATATTTATAAAAAATAATAAACCAATAATGATACAGATTGATCGAATTCCGTTTGAAAAAATCATAATTGACTTAACTTGCAACATTTTATATATACATCAATATTGTTTTTTTCTAATGAATTAGATCTTCACTAAAATGAAGACTACGTACACAGAAAAGCTGGGTGTCACTTGTCAGATCTGTGGCTGCATGTCTTCCGGCTTCCATTATGGTGCCTACACGTGCGAAGGATGCAAGGTAATACGAGGTTTAACCTATTATATTCAATAATGGCTATTCCCTTAATGCTAGACTTTTGCAGGTTATATCGTATAACCTAAAAAAAACAGACAACACAAAAAGTGATGACGTCGTATACGGCAATGTTTGGCGCGGTATTTGTTATTCCTACTTATGATTGGTTGAAATTACTGCGCAATGATGATATAGATATCGGTAAACATTCTTTAGCTATGAATGAAAAGATCTGATTTTTAAAATTTAATTATAAGGGATAACCAAAAATGTCTGTTTTGTTTTATACGGTATATACCGAAAACACTGAGTGCACTTTTGTGTATAAATCGCTTCGCAGATTTATGCAAATTGCACAAAGTTTTTTTTACGGTATATACAGTTTTACCCCCAATATAATCTCTGTTATTCCTTAATTAATGAGTTCAAGATGAATAATTTCTTTGTGATAGTTTCCATTATATATAATGTGTTCCTGAAGTGCTAGGCTAGAGAAGAAACCTATCGCTCACTCTAAGGAATCTTTCCATGTACACAAAAAGTATTTATAGGCAATGCGGGTGCCCAATCCTATTGTTAATTGCAACAATAAAATAATTTTGAAATAAAATACCATGCCATCCGAATGGGTTTTTTCCTCTCCTGACAGGCCTTCTTTCATCGGTGCATCAAGAGGAAACTGATCTTTCAAAAATGCACGAAAGGGAAAAACTGTCAAATCAATATTGGATATAAGTACAAATGCAGGATTTGCAGATATCAGAAGTGTCTACAGGTCGGAATGTCTATTGGCGGTAAGCACTCCATTTTCAAAAATTATAACTGAAAATAATATTGAACTGCTATTGTCATTCGAAATTATTGATATATTTTTAAGGATCTTAGTAGTTAGAGCGAGTTATAATAAAAACGCTTTTGAACATGTTTACTGATGCAACTCTACTGAGTAAAAAAGTATTCAATGCCTTACTTAATTTGAAGTCAGTTAAGAATTTTGATGTTATTTTAGTAGTTTTAAACTGATGTCATTTTTTCACTGAGGAGCTATTGAGATAAATTTTGAATAAATTGCGAAAAAAAAACCGTGCTCAATGAATTTGATAAGTCGTTAACTTAAGTAAAGTCGAGCTTTGTAAGCCACATTTTAGAGAGTTTGGTAAACTTTGAACAGAAAATAGCGCCGCAGCGTCGTCGCGTTAAGCTTAATAAGCGGAAATTACGTTCCCATTCATCAGTCAGCTCCTACACACTGAAGTGTTGCGCTTCCTTAGATACGATAGTTGGAAAAGAAATATTCAATGCCTAGGAAGACAATCACTGGGGAACATCTCCAAGGTTGTTTAAATTTGAACTACTTTCATTTTATTAGAACCTACTTGAATTCTCATACACCACAACACGTTGGGTATGGTTCTAACTACAAAGATCACCACAAACCATCACACTACTGCAACACAAATTGTCCTTTTCAGCGATGTAGAAGTTTAAGAGGGCCACTCGGACGCCTTCAGATTATGTCTCCTATCACCAGGTGATAAACAGAATATGATACATTTGGTTAATGATCCATTGCCAAAAGACGGCGTGCATGGGTCCCATAAATGCGATTACTGTAATGACATCGTGTCAAGAATAGCCATGCGTAAGGCCATCTCGTTTTCTAATTTTCCCACTTTCCAGCGTCTTCAGATAAACTGGAGGGTGCAGAAATACTTACCCTTTCTAATATATTTCCTTCCTGTGATTCATGATATTTCTTTCTTTTGCTTCGGCGTTCACTCTATCGGCTCGTACCAACTTTGTATTTCAATTTTGCCATTGTGTGTTGACTCTGTGGTATATATAGAGGATCTTATATGAGTATTTATGGCATATGAAATTATTGAACGAGTTTCATAAATTCAATATGACATGGAAACGAATGTAAGATTCTAATATTCTAATTAGGAAAAAAGGTATCAAACAATTATGTGTTTTCAGCTGACTCTATTAGGTAAAAACTGAAGAACTGCGATCATGAATTGTCGTTCCGCGCAATGCAAAATGGTTCCATATTGTGTAACATTTTAAGTTTGTTTAAAATAACGGTAAATGTATCGTATGCTATAATGAATAGAAGTACTACCTGCTGTTATATTACACATGTGTGATACCATAATTATGACATGGCCGTATGACATAGTAAAATGGGTCAATTATTTGATACATGTATCATTACAAGTTCCTATGTTATATGTATTTCTGTACTTATAAAGCCATCAGAGTGGGTCGGCTGCCAAACACCGAGCGGGAAAAGCTTAAAGCTAACTCCGAGGACATTACAGGATATAGACGTCGGCTCCTGGATTTGTCAGACAGAATAACGACAAATTTTGCCAATGTTTTCCACGACTCTTCATTATTTAAACCGGGGAAAGAGACCGTAATAAAAACTGTAAGCCAAAATTATGCAGTTCTAATCATGATGAACAGCAATACTGGAATTACATTATATGCACTTTCCATATAAAGTTCTTTTATTTTCGAGAGTAAAGAGAATGTTTAAAAAATGTCAATGTTTGAAAAATACGTGATTTTTATATATTTATTAAAAAATGTGCAAATAAAGTGAGACAAAAACAAAGGTGTTTGAGGACATTCAACAATTTTATATAGGTAGTTACTGGCATATACAAGATTGAAATCAATAATGAATGTATATCAAGTAAGAATCCTGTTTTCATATTTTATAATTTTCTTCAAATGGCTTTTGCAATACAAACATTTAAATCACCCACAAGTTTTCGATTTTTTAAGTCAAACTGCTGTGTTTGCTGAGAACAAGCAGTTGGCTGTTTCTGTACAGACTTATCGTCTATGAAGCCGGATGATAAAAGCATCTTCGATAAGGAATATATAGAAAAAAAAACATAAATCTTGGTATTCCACATACAAATTAATGACCCATAGATCTACTTTGTCGGCTTGGATAAAATTCCCGTAATTATAAAGATAAAAATTCTATAGTCGGAACAATGTATTAATTTGATAGAAACTGATATTCACAAATTATGTTAATATAACTATATTATCGATTGTGTATATATTGATGAACGGCTGTTTCATATTTCAGCCTGTTCCATATGCTTGTTCTGGATTTGTAATTAGCGAACTTGACACAGTTGGTTTTTATCAACTAGGAGTATTCAATCAATATCAGGAAATGCTTGTACCTATCATGAAAGACACTATCCAGTTTGCCAAGAAATTGCCTGGATTTTTAGATTTGCGACTTTGTGATAGAGTGGCTTTAATGAAACAGGGAGCTTTTTGTATTTGTATATTATTGGTAAGTTGGTCAGATATCTCACGAATCCTAAAAAATCAAGGATTCATCTCTCGTTACAGATATCTTCTCTGAGCCTTTGTAATATATTCTGACAAAATCGAAGACTCGCGCCAAGTCATCTGATTGGTTTCATGATTAAAAAACCTTTCCAATCATTAGGCTGATACATGAACCTGTTCTTTAAAGGTTGCAGTGGAGCAACATCAAACTTCAAAGCAGGCCCATTTTACCGTTATTCTGCAACATGATTCCTTTGATCTTCATCAAAGACATCAGACTAGTCTACTTGAATCATCTGTAAAGTGTTTAGTAAAAAGCCTTCTGTTTTGTCATAACATATTCCAAGAGTGCTTAGAAGATATGTATATCGAGAATTAAACACTTGGATTTCAAAGAAAGTTCTCATACAATATCGAATTCATTACATTCTTATTAGTTTCTGTATAACCATAAATGTACACCGCCTTTGTAATTAATGTAAAGTTATGATCAATAGTTATGCATGAATAAAATTAATTCATAAAAAGATATTTATGCGAATTGAATAAAACAAATAAAATATACAAAAAAATAAGAAGGGCGAACTTATCACTACAGCGAACGTTTGTGAACGTTATATACCTAGTCATCAAATACGAAGAGCAAATTTATTATCGGGCGAAAATTTAACGAGGCGAAAAGTTCCCGGTATACACTAAATAAATGAACGAGAAAAAAAAATCAATTGGTTGGGACAATCGGTTTTGGATTCATTTTACAAACATTATGAAACATTTTCAAAATCGCCAATGATCAAAATCCTCAATTATAAAGAACGAATTTTGCTCACTTGAATTTGTAGATGCATAGGTCATTGTCTGGGCCCAATGTGGAGTTGAAAGGTACACACACCAGCCTGTGTCTAACAAAGGAGGCCATCAGTAAATGCTCAGAGGCACAGGTACTTCTTGGTAAAACAATAAAGATATCGGAAAGGATTCACCAGCTCAAACTACAGCAGACAGAGTTAGCTCTCTTTGCCTCCGTAATCCTGCTGTCAGGTACGAATCTAATCATGTTATTATATTACACAACATTTATATAGCGCCCTATATAATTTGCAAAATTATTCTAAGGCGCTTTACAAAACATGAAAATAGCATTTCTTCAGTAACATTTATGAATAATGATGATTAAATGACGTACAAATTAGCGTTATACATAACGTAACACGGCATTTATCTCCATATACATAAATAGTGTGTAGATGACATCTGCGCAAAATAGCCCTAAATGCAGACGCAAACAAGTGGGACTTTATAACCCTCTTGAACTAGGCAAATTGTTGACGCAACTTTATTACATATATTGTATTTTATTATCCTGATTACTAGTTACCAATTAAATTGTAAATAACTCTACGCTTTATTTAACATGATGACGTATATTCTGCAGTACATGCATATGGGAGAACAGATACGGAGTCATGATATTACATGAATATCAATGAAAATGTATCGATATGGGTTAAAATTCTGAAATACAATACGTAGTGTAACTGTGAAGCTATTTATTCTTCAATTATGTATCATTGATGTTTTTGCGTTAATTTGTGAACCTCCTAGAGACGACCTACACGCTAGGTTGTGATAAAGAGGTATACTTATAAGAACCTCAAATTATTATTATTTATTATTATTTAATTCTTATTAGAGCGGTTTAGATATGACGCTGAATTATGCAATTTGCAAATGAAAGTTACATTTTACTGCTTCATATGGTGAGTGTGCCGAATCATCGATGCGGTACACTGTTCAACTTCGTTAATGCGATTAAATAATAGTTCCCTAACAAAACCAATTTTAGAACATTCTTGTTTTGTTGTTGTATAGCAGAATATTTTCGCTCAGTCCAACTTTCGCATTTCGCTGGTAAAATTCATTTTTGCACAGCGTCAATTTTGACGTTTAGATTTAATTACTATGTATATTCTGTTGTTTTATTAATATTCGCTGTAATGATAAATTCGCCCTGGGTTCGTGGGGCCAAAAGGCGAAAATTGAATTGCTGCAAAAATGTTCAGGTATACAGTAACTATATTGATTATTCAATAGTTTTTTTTGTCGATAGTTTATTAGCGTTCATTTGATTTGTGGCGCTCAGACGTTTTAGCACATTGAAATAATCTATCCGGTAGAACAGAATAAACAGTTAATTAAGTTTTACTGAAATACATTTGTTAAAAAAAACAGTTAGTTGTGAAATGTTTGGTAAATGTTGCTCGTCTTTTTGTTTCCCAGATAGTCCACTGCTTGAAGAACGAGAAAGAATTCGGTCAATTGCAGGTGATGTCACACAGGCGTTGCAAATGGAATTAGGTCATATTCGTTCAGAGGACAATGACATCTTCCTTTCATTTTTAGCATTGAAAGAGGATTTAAAACAGGCATCGGAGGAATTTATAAGTAACTTAAAAGCTGGAAGTTACAGCCTACCCGAGGACGTGTGTGACGGACTTCTGCTATTAAAAGACATTTTTGATATATGATATATGGTTGTTGCGGTCGGCAGTCGGACTCAAACAAATGCTTTTCAACTATAGAGCTTTAGTAAAAGAAAATTATACGATTGAAATTGATGAACGATTTTTTAACACTGAAATTGTATTAAAAAACTCAAGAAATACATTCGAAAATTATACCAATGCATCCATTGTTTTTTTTAGTTATGTGGGAATTTTTAGAACAATGCATACCTGGGGATATTTTTGTGCGAGGTACGGTAGTCTAGTGGTTGGACACTGGGCTAGTGACAGAAGGGTTGCGGGTTGAGCCACGTTACGGCACTGTGTTGTATCTTTGAACAAGATATTTACTCCGCTTGAATACGTGGTTGGACAGTGCTGGAATTGTTGAATGCTAGCTGTGAGCGCCGAAATGGCAGCAAAGACTGTTTGCTCCCCAGGGAGTTGAGAAAGTTATATGCTGGTTGCTATGGCCCTATAACCATGAAGGATAATTTATGAACCACTTTGAGACGACCTACAGTCTAGGTTGTGATAAAGCGGTATATAAGAATCTCGAATTGTTATTATAATTATTCTTATAGCTCCTCGTGTAACAAAATGCTAAAAACGATAAAATATATGTAAAATAAATTATTAAATATGCATTATGGATTAATTTTGAGATTTTGGTATAAATCTTCGAATAGGAGGGTTTTTCAAGCCTTTTTTTATTATGAATTCGCTAGATAATTTTCGTGCTACAAATTGTGTTAAAAGCAAATTGAATCTAAATATATTTGCTAAGGAATTAGTCGTTATTTTATAAATTAGCTAGTTGTTAAGTGGGTAAGTTTGATAATTGATTAGTACTACTTGCACATCGCTTTGAACTCCGTTCCGAGCAACAGCGGGATAGTTCTATATGCATGGGTACAGCTCTTTTGGAAGGCAAATAGTCAATTCGATTTTAGAAATTCATCAGCAACATAAAGAATAAATTAAAATAAATGAACGAATGGTCACTACACTATATCATACTTCTCTCAAAACCACACAACTATATAAGATCTAAACAAAGCTTGTTTTGACTTTGATTAGCATAACGAAAGTTAAAATATCAATACGATACAATATATCGATATTAAGGAGGCTCCACCCTTTTGCAATTAACCAGCAGAATTCAAATAAAGTTTCACATAATGGTTATGTCACTATGTAAAGATGATTTTATGACAATCTAAGTATTCCGATAAACTGGGGATTTTTTTGTAAAAACCCCGAAAAATTGAATTTTTGTCAAATTTATCTATTTCACATTTTTTCAGCGTGTGTCATTGTTTAGACTGTTACAACAATAAAATAATGATAAATTGTACCAAATATACACAAAGCCTTAATAATTCATTTATTTTACATTTTGCAATCATTTTGATCCTGATGAGAGTTGTCTACCTTGAAAAGAAACGGAACTTTTTGTAGAGGGATGGAATTTATAACGACGGTAACAAATTAATTTATAATATTAAAACTGTCCGTTTACTGTTCTTTTATAGATCAAAATTACTCACAATCACGTACACTTTGGACATCATTCCATAGCCCGCTTACGCCTGGAATATTTACATGTCAGGTACATCTGTAACCATGGTAGCATTTTATAGGAATCTCGATATTTTATAAAACACTATTTTCACAGAGTTATTGTTATAGCATTTGTGAAATGATTTACCTTACAGAGCGTAACTCGTTCGACAACAAAAATCGTAGCGTCCCCGAGCTTGTGAACAAGTGTCTGCATTCGATGCGCCTCATAAACGACCTTCCTGAAGTCGTCTGATCGTATGTCAATGTTTTCCTGTGAGTTAATTTATGTCTTTGTATCATACGCTTTATTTCCAAGCAAGTCTCGATATCGGGTGTTGACATATCATCGTCACGCACGTGTAATATTGTTTACCCGGTGTTACTATAATTTACACTATGGTAATGGAATGCCCGATACGCAATACGGAAATGATGACAAGAAAAGCATGTGCATTACGAAAGGTGGGAAGTCCTTATGTAAATGGCGTAACACGATAGCTAATACTCAAACACAATCTGAATTTAATGTAATGAGCGTTTAATGTTCAGTTAACATAGACAAATACTAAATATAGATTACGTAAATAACACTATCAACCAATGGCTACTTGGAATTTTCACCCCTTTTGGTCGTAAATGATGTTAATAATAAGAAAAGAAATAAATCAAAACCTTCATCACCCGTTCATAGTTATTCTTATATCAGATTACAATTTAATTCGGCAGCTGAATATCAGATCACAAACTTCATTCGACAATCTCTAGTAGACAAACTAAATGAATGGAGGTATGGATCCAATTAGCACTACTTTTTTTTTAATGTCTAGTCTTGACTACACTTGGATACAAAGTCTACCTAAATATAATGGCAGAAACTGGAGCTTTGTGATTATTTTCTAAAACGTCTTTTTCCAGTTCGTCCAAATCATCCAGTTATCAAAAATGATTTCATGGCTATCCTAAAATAGATCTATGTGAACATTATATGTAATAAAAACAAAGTTGACAGTTTTGTAATCGCAGCGTCAATGGTTTCTTTAGTAAATTCCTTTCGATACATATCTGTAATGTAAATGTTCACGGTGTCAGTAGACTTGTCCAAGTCCCATCTGATATAACGTTTTTCTTCTAAATAATGTATGTCGCTGTAGAAGAAGCGAAAGAGTAGATTTCCTTGATACAAAAGTAGATACAAAGTCTACCTAAATATAATGGCAGAAACTGGAGCTTTGTGATTATTTTCTAAAACGTCTTTTTCCAGTTCGTCCAAATCATCCAGTTATCAAAAATGATTTCATGGCTATCCTAAAATAGATCTATGTGAACATTATATGTAATAAAAACGTTAGACTGAGTCCTGCCATCACTTTATTGTTGTCAAGCAGTTTGGCTTGTTTATGTACAATAAGATGATATTATGATCCTCCGACAATGATACCTCCTTACTTGAAAACTACTATCATACAACTTTGAAGCATGGTCTTGTCATGTTTACATTCTTATTAACATTGTTTTGAGAACCGGCCAGTTATGATTCTTTCATCTGAGAACGCACATCATCAAGACAGAATTTCATATAGGAAATTAATACTGTTTTAACATGTTCCATATTGCCGTTTGGATCGGAGTATATTTTAACTTCCATGGACTTGGGACAATATTGAAGCAAAGAGGACCGATAGCTTTCATTATTAAAGTCTTGAACATAGTGTTGCAATTCAGCAGCTATTTTAGGAAACTCTTCCGCTTTGAAATTGACCACACCTTCTCTCAAAGTTGACAGTTTTGTAATCGCAGCGTCAATGGTTTCTTTAGTAAATTCCTTTCGATACATATCTGTAATGTAAATGTTCACGGTGTCAGTAGACCTGTCCAAGTCCCATCTGATATAACGTTTTTCTTCTAAATAATGTATGTCGCTGTAGAAGAAGCGAAAGAGTAGATTTCCTTGAATACCAGGAAAATTCCATGACGGCTCTTCAATCTGCAATGTGCTATTTGTTGTATCTTGGTTTTGGATCGAATTTTCTGTCTTTTGTGCTGGATTTTCTGTGACTGATGGTTTCTAATGAATACAAAACATGTAATGTATTACAAGCAAATTACGTTTGAATATTACAATTACACAAATATCAAATGAACAACACCAACATACCTATTGACCATTGGATTAACCCACACCACTTTATTTCTTACTATCTCATCTGGGTTATATTATCTGTCTCTCTCTCAGTATATATATAGTATACTGTATACCGGGAAACTGTCGCCGCAGGTTAACTTTCGCCCCTTTCGCCTTCCGATCTGAGGGCGAATTTAACATGACGACGAAAGTTTAAAAAGAAATTACGTATACGACGGCACATGTTTTGTCACTATTTCGTCTACACTGAGGCTTAACTCAGGTACCGTATGTGATGCAATTGGGGTCCAGTGTGTTCCGGTGTTACGGAAACACCACCACATCATACTTAAATTGAGAAAAGTATAACAATAAAAAAGAGATTATCTCCGGTGTGTAAACAAACGTATTAATTTTCTACTCACATGCATCCTTTGAACTTGATAAACACTAAACTTACTTCACCTGCAAATTATGCAAAAATAATAATGTTAGTTTTTCAGAAACATACACATAGAAATCAAATAAAGAATTCAGAAACTAAATGAATATCGGCCTCATATTGAATCTTAAATGTTAAATAATCAGCCATATGATTTCATCTATTTCAAAAATATTTTCAAAAAGTAAACAATAGATGATTCATATTTTTAATAAAGGAAAGTAAAAATGCAAACGTATGTCAATACAATGTAATATCAACCAATCAAAAATGTAAAATAAAAAGTAACACTTTTTTTTAAATTTGTAAACGAAGCAGCATTTTGTACATGCTATATTTGTAAAGATATATAATTTCACTTACTTGCGTCCATCGGTGCGTTCTAACGTGCCATTTACCGAAGTCTCTATGAAACACAGCTGCAAAAAAGCATAAGCCAATTTAAAAACAAACATTCTGTCCACATTCAAAATTCACAAATTCACAATCGACTTAAAGAGCCGTGTACCACCGCATATCTCTATATAATGAGACTTCATTATGGTTTATACTTCTTAGAGTAACGGTACCTTGTTTGTTATTAGTTCACATATTACTCTAAAATATTTAACATGAGTTTCCATTCCATATGAGATTTATGAGTCTATGAATGTATAATTTTACCAAGGAAACGTTATGGCAAGCTACATTTAAAAATCGTGACAAAAATCAGAAATGCAATATTATAAAATCTAAAGTTCATTAAAACATGTCAAGGGAAACATAAATCCATATCCAAATAGTAACATTCGACGGAAAATAAACAAGATCAAATTGTACTGGAATTTATTCGAGCAAACCTTTCAAACACCATCAGTTCGATTTTCAGATAATCAAATACACACACCAGTACACTGCATATTGTATTTTGGTTTCAATGCAGACAATGGTTGATGTAGAATTGACAGGAGAGATCATGTCGGGACTGAGCGTCCAGGACGGGGGGCTGGGAGGAAGACTGGAAACGGGAATGGGTTCCGTCAGGTCAAAGTATAAAACTCGGTCAGAAGGCTATACAGCAAGACATAGACAATAAAAAAACACAGGCTGACTGAAGCTTTGGCTTCTATTGTTCAGCTTAACACGTGTCGGAGAAGTCCGTCGGGTTATAATATACAGCATATATATACACCGTAACAAAAATGAAACTTTCAACTTTAAAACCCACCTGTTCAAATTCACACACCACTGCTCAAAACCATACTATTCGCCATTAAACGACTTCCTACCTTGCGAATGTTCTCCGGCTCGACTTTCGCACACAAATGGTGTCCTGCTATTGTCAACAACAAAAAAAGGAATATAACGCTAATCATTTCCCCTCAAACACGAACGGATCGGCACACTTAGATCGCTGTCTCTTGCAACAGTAATTGACGACGAGCGCGCTGACATTCCACGCTGGTTGACAACACATGACGGATTATGTTGTCCTATAATAAAGTATTGCGCATAGTAAATGCGGATAATGAACGCTGCTTGAACAATATTCTGACCACGGATTATTTTCAGAGCATTTAGATGGATGAATAATAAGAATTGATTTGTCATTTATCATTGAAGTTTGCAAAAGCTAACTATTTAATAATCCCCAAGGTGAACTCATAAGGCTTATGAATATGTTTTCATATCCAGTTGACAATTAAAAAAAGACAAAAGTTAAAAATGGAAAATGTTCATCAATGCTTGTGAGGGACCTAGGCGGTAATACATGTACAGTAGACCAGGTAAGTAGGTAATTGGTAATGTCAGCAATTAAATTAAAGAAATCTGTCAAATACTTATTGCAGGGAACCTTTGCGAGGACGAGATCAGTTCTGAAAAAAAGTGATCCCCATATGTAGCCTTTGATTTGTAAACGACACAAAACCATTACAGATGTATATGTACTTATATGTGGAAAAGTGATGTATTAGGGTTTGTGTCCAGCACAAATATAGAATTTATATCGACACTATACCTGTTATACTGTATTCTCGATTTGTGTTTATTCTATCTAACACACAATAGCATATACAATTTAACCATTACTATATCTTAGACTCCAATAAATTCTTCAATTCATAATTAAGAGGTTTTACTCACATGTCCCTCAGTTCAAACAATGTTTTACGAAATTTGGATTTTCATTCTTTTATCCCCTAGCATCACCGATGAGTCATAGAAGGACAAAATAGTTGTATGGTGCAGTGTAATTACTTTTAGGTATACTGTATCTATTCACCTGTGTGTTTTACCTTTATCACTCAATCAAAAAGAAAACAGCTAACCATTGTAAAACTAAGTATATTGCTTTTCTTATTCATTAAGACCTAGTCAGTACTAAAATAATAAAATAGAAGAAGAATTAAACTTCTTACCTTTGGTAATTCAATGTTGTTGTACAGTTCTTCAATCGCAATCAGTTTGGCCCAGGATTGGTAATGTGATCCTTTACCCTCACAAATAGATTTTTTTTAAACTAATGGAAATTACTTATCGTATTCACTACATATTACCTGGGGTTAAATTTTGCTGTGCACCCGAATCCCATGTGTCGTGCAAAGTATTTTTAGTGTCATCAATTAAAGGGGTAAACCTCGAAACACAGGTAAACCGTGTAAAAAAACACTGATCCCGAGCGTCGTCATCCGCCAGCAACTTCACTTGAAAGAAAATCAAATGTATATGTTCCTTTGTAGGAGTAAACTGTAATCAATTTATCACCTAGTGTGTACACATAAGTATGTTGTGGCCACTTAAATGTAAAAGTGTTATTTTTACACGGACTGCCCAGTTGTCCGGTGCTTATCTGATTTGAGTACTTTGTATTCTTGCTTTGATTTTAAAATTAAAATACGTCTTCAGGTCATGTCATACAAATATCCGTTCAGTACTTCTTCAGAAAAAGCAATGACAAGAAAATTTTAAGGATGAACGGACCATGGACGATTTGATCAGCCCACCATTTTATAATGGTTGCCTAAAAAGGTTGATGGACAGGTGAACTGAACAAAAAACCCCACAAATAATGAATCACAAGCACTTTCATTGTAACTCAACGCTATTTTCCAGAAGTTTCTGAAGAAGTCTGAACGTTTTTGTTTTTAAAAAAATTAAATGTATCTTCCAATGTCAGTTGAGCAGATTTTTTCCTCAATATACAACCTTGTTACGTTGCATTCGTTAAATTTTGATAGTAGAGTGTGGCCCATGTCATTCATGTGTAACGGTAATGTGAAAATTACTCTACATAAGTAAAGGCATATATATCTTTTATAATCAGCTAGATAAGCGTTGTTACAAATCTCAATTATCAGAGATAGTAACTAACAAAAAACAACAACGAAGAAGTGATTTTTCTATCAGAATAACTCATTTTAATGCTAGCAATTATAATTTAAACGCAACCAAATCAAACTTCTGATTAGTATACATTAACAACGAAAAGATTAATGTAAACAGATTTAAAGAAAAACTGAGAAATTAGTCATTACAATCTCACATATTTACATATTGTAAAATGTTTAAGTTTTATTATTGACTACTTTATTATTGAGCACTTAGCTTGAACCCTATTTACAACAGCGAGCTAATACTATCTTTATAACAATTTCTGTCGATCAAATCACACAAAACATTCCAAAAATATTAAAAATATTAAGTAATACGCCAGAAATTGAATTAGTTACACTTGATTAAGGTAACAAAAATTGCTTGGTTTTAATACAAGATTTTCATTCTTCTTCAACCATGCCTTAGTTTTAATACTGTGTGTTGAAACTCGTTATTTTAGCGAAGATTAAGACGCTGTGGTAGGATTGCAACTAAAATAAGTTAGTGACTTTACCTCTATAAAACAATCATGTTCAGTACATCAGAATCATCAATTCCACTAAAATTTACCTTTTATCAAATAACAGTAATCTATACATATTTTGCTTGGATAACGAATTCTTTCACCACTAAGCTATAATCTTAATTTGATATTGAACTTATTGTTCATTAACGTGGCAGTACCCAAAATGGAACGGTACCTAAAATGGAACACTTTTCATATACCTGATAAAGCATATTTATTTTGCAATACAAGTGAATGTTATCTTAATAAGGGTTTTTAAGCAACTGAGGGAAAGTGTATCACTCTACTTCATTAATTCAATTGAAATGGCACTGCGAAAATATTAATATTTTATCACATTTTCAATGATAGAACAAAATGATTAAATGAATGTTTTAATAAATAAATGAAATATATCAGAAAGTGACAAAACATTTTTGAAATGAACAAAAATATTTGAAACGCTGTAACTTATTTTCATAAATTGACATATATGATGAAGTGTTCCGTTTTGGGTACCCAGCAAGCTAAAATTTCTAAGTGAACCTGGCTCAACTATATGAGCTATATCAACAGATACACGCGCTAGTGATACCAAGGAAATACATAAAATGATATCAAATTGCATCCATTGGGTAATATAATAATAGAATGGATGTTCCACAAACTAACTAGGAAATATTAATATTTTTCTTTAGAAGGGACATAAATGTGGTTCCATCTTGGGTAACTTCGCGTTTTCCAGGCAAAGTACACACATGAATCAGTAAAAAACCGCTATAATTTTACAACAATCTGGTGGATAGCAAAGCAGGAATAAACATTCTACAAGGATAAAGACACAGAATAATACAATCCAAGAACTTGGCCTTATTTTACGTATCAAGTCATATGTGACACACGAAGAAATTTTCAAAGCTTTATCAAAACTATGAGCGTTTCAGTGTTATTCACTGGCATCTAATGAGACTAGAAAGAAAGAAAATTCTTAACCTAAATAGTTTCAACAATTATTATTACGTTAATAGTAAGGGGTTAAAGTTGAAAGCGCTACTTGAAATATAAGAGATTAAAACGATGTGCCTACACTGTTTCATAAAACATATTGAGCACTCTCTTAAATACTTCCACTACAATACTTCATAACGAAGGGAACTTTCCTTTTCAGATTTTTTTCCACCAGAGTGATTATGATAATAAGCAAATAATTTATGAAGGCAGGTCAATTCTTTTGAAAATGGTCGAATCATTTTTAGAATGTCTAATGCTAACTTAAACTCCGAATAATTCAAGTTATTAAGAAAGGACAAAACAAATTGTCATTGAAATCACTAAATCTCTTTATATTTTATACGCTTACACAAATCTATATTATTGAGTAGAAATATTAGTCACCAACGGTACAATGTACCCCTAAACCATGGTTAAACAAACAAAAAGGTTTACATCACTTTATTCAAAAGACTTATTTAAAAAAGAATCGAAGGTTCAAACTATGAAGCCCCTTCAACAAACTTTTAATAACACTATGAAGTAATCACAAATTAACTCCTTAATTTAACAAAACATATTCTTTGTTAAAATTTCGTTAAAAATAACTGTGCACATTCTGCTTACCATTTTAAGTAACTTACTTCCAATAATGAAACAACATATGGTAAATATTAAAAACAACGAATATCCATAAGGCATGGACGGAAAGGATGTTAATAATTAAATAATAATGATAATAATAATTAACAACTCATTTATACTTTTCTTAGCATACAGTCATTCAAAGACTATATGTGAAAAGTTATAATTCGCTTAATTCCTTTAAAACATTTTAACAGATAGGTGATATCACGGAAGAAATAGTAAGCATCGCTTGGTTGATTGTGTATGAATATTCACGCGATGTTTAATCAATGCAAAACAAAAAACCATGTACCTTTGTATTCTGCGGGATAAACGTGATTTTCTAGTAAGTACGAAATATATTCCATGATTTGTATCTGCAATTACAATATATCTAACTTGCGTTTGTATCTCTCATTTTTAGACAGCTCACGAAATATTTCTATAAAATTGAATATCAGAACTGAACACAACTTCCTCAGGAATTTACATAGTGGTCTTAGATTTGCAAGTACTTATACCAATAGGTATGTGAAACATTATATCTATATCATGTCAATACCAAAAATATCTATAAAACAGGAGAGTACACTTTTTGTCCTTTACTAGGCCGTATTGTTATAGGAACGTCCAATAAGCTGATACATATGTATCTGCTTATTACAGCGACTCAGTATTTTCTCTGGTGTAGAAAATGTCAACTGTATTTAATTATATTTCTATATTAACAAATGTATTGCCAAAGATGTATATTAACGAGACATCTTTATATTCAATTACTGCAGTTTGCTATTAAATAATTGTGAATATTGTTTACGGTTTTGTTGTATGAAAATTTGGATTCCCTTTCCGTCGGTTATCAACATGAAAATACATATTTTGCGAAAGTAATTTACATTATGCCAGTTAGAATATTTTGTTGTAATAAGTTAAAGCATATAATCTATGATAAAATATATACAGACCGTCGAATATGCTATTGGTGACGGGAATTGAAAATCGCTTACGACATTTATTTGTTATGTGCCCACATACAGCGACCCCTGTATGATCAAACCCCTGACGATTTCGACATTCTTTGTAATCCATTATAACATTATTAGCCAATTTATTACATGTAGGAACTAGCTTGCATATTCCTATATAAAGTGACTAATACATTGTTTCCAAAATGAATTCAGATCAGATAGGTTAACCCTTTCACACCTATGTAACTTTAGTAGACTCTACCATGCATTGATCTGGATGAGTCCATTATGGTCTACAGTGGTGAAGGGGTTAATCTGATCAACACATTGTGTCCAACAGGGTGTCGGATTAGACAAGTTAACCACACCAATATGATGTATCAACACAAGATGTCAAATTAGACAGGTTAATCTGACCAATATCCGAGTCCATCACGGTGTCGTATAAGACGAGTAACTGTGACTGATATATTGTTCATGGGTTACATTAGACAGGTTAAGTGATGATATGGCATTATAAACAATATATCAATATACCATTAAACACGTATAAAACAATTATGCTAAATTTATTGATCACATATATGTCTTTTTAATGCATATCTTACGACATGAACCTTTTTACTAAGTCATATAAATTCATCACATACAAGTGTCGTGGAAACCTAATACATGATACAGTATGCTTGTTGACATATAGGGAAGATACTTCTATGTAAGTATCTTTTAAAAAGCTAAGATCAGGATGGATGTACATGATGTGAGTTTGGTACAATGTTTACGATGCTGACACATAAAGCTTAAGATAAGTTATTCTGTCATCACACATAGTTTCTGATTATCAAACCACTGTTTTAAGGGACACATTAAATTTGTCCAAAACTCTTTTTTTTCTCAACGAGTGACTTGAATGACAAGACTTGACAGACTTTAGGAACAGCTTAACCGTATGTAGACGTTATGTAGTACAAAACATTGTTCGGATTACTCTGCATCGATCATCTCGGAAAACAGTAATGTCTGTTTATCCTATAACGTCTACTCCTGAACAATCTGATAGCTGTATGACATATAATATATGTATAATATGACATTAAAATACATATTTACAAAATGGAGACTTCAAGCGTAAGGTAAGGGTGCCCAAAACGGATATATATTTTCATTCAGAGAAAATTTAGAGGGCAAAATATCTTAACCTTAAATTATATTAGAGGATTCAAATAATGTTTTTCAACCGGGGAAAACGTGGTATATTTATAGAATACTACGTCAACAATTAACTGTTTCTGGATCTTGCAAATGGAAGTTCCCAAAATGGTTCACAGCTGGAGTTTTGCAACATGTTCGGCTTGAAACAAAAAAGTCTTTTCTGAAATCTCAACATGAATACTGGAATTTCTGTGTCGAAACATAAGGCTTAGTCACCCACGTGCCATTATGAAAAACTAATAAATAAGTGTTTGTTAAACGTAAAAATATGTGCTATATCAATTTACCATAATCTAGCGACATTATTATAAACTATAACACTTGGGTTTAAGTGGTAATAAATATCAATGGATTTACATGAAATATAAGTATGGGTCAAAGAAGTAATATAGACGGTAAAATCCCATATAACACTGGATCCTAATGGAGTTCTGTTTCACTGTGTCTTGAAAAAGGAGCGGACCGCTCCGAAAATTTGACAACCTAAACTTGTCCACACTGTTGGAATTACTTCTTTGCCCCATTAAATATAAGTATACAACGGGCAAGACACCATTTACAATGGGCAAGACACCATTTACAATGGGCAAGACACCATTTACAACGGGCAAGACACCATTTACAATGGGCAAGACACCAACAACATTAGTATAAATTCTCGAAGGTTTTGTAATAAAATTACAAAATACCATCGCTATGGATAACAAAATACTGGACTATTATGAGGTAATATTACATGGGTCGTGTCAGAACGTTCTGAACATGAAATATATACATTGTAGTGCAACTAGTGACCAATAAAACTTCCGCATGTATCTGCAGTGATGACAGACAACATGGATTTTAACACAGCAATTAAAAGCGCATACTACATTTATACAAAATCTCAACCAAGGCTAATAACCGATTTTAAACTGACAGTTAAGGGCCCTTTAAGAGGTCATTGACTTTTACCCACTTGGTTCAGGAAGTGGCTCAATTCCACGGCAATGATGTCATGCAGTTACGTGGCTTAAAACCTGTTAGGTGTACTTTATCTTTTCCTAGATCTTTCTATTTACGTTTGCACTGGATCCTATCTATGCAAACTTCCGCAAAGCACTATATATGCGTATATCCGGAAAATATCAAAAAAGCTAGAATCTCCACTCCAAGCAACTCCTGCAAATATTTACAAAAGGAAATCCATACTGAAGTCAATTTTATGTATGCACACCCTCCTGAAACGTAGTACAAAGAAAACACAAACACATCATTATATATATCTAATAAAGCAAGTCTTCACTCCAGCAAGCAAACATTAGTATAAGCGAAAATTAATCACCATCTTATTTCACTAAACTAACCATGTCGTATAATACATGAGCAGCAATGCTCAGTTCATGTAATTATTTTTCCATTTAAAAATCAAATCTATAAATATTGTAAACTAATGATGAACCCAAATGATACAGGCAACAATAAAAACCAACTCAGTCAAATAGAATACGAAATACATAAGTTTTTTTTTTTTATATTTTTCATGCTGATTTCTTTCTTACATCAGACTAAATAAGTAAAATTCAGTAATCCCAACAACATCTGAACTGTGTATATGATACAGGTTATATTCATACAATTATATACTGATACGATAGAGTTTACTGTGACATCGACTATAAGAAATAATCGTATAGACAGTAATGTTTCATTGCGCTGACTGACTGCACAAATAAACACAATCTGGTTAGTTAGAAGTGCTTGAAAAATATATTTCATGTTTTTCCAAATAAAACTGCATTTTTTTTCGTAATTGATATAGGAAAATTATCACAAGGTTTAATGAAACTCAAATAAGAAACAAACGATTACAGTTTCGTTTTCTTTATATAAAATTGACAGGACCAAATAAAGCAAGCTTCTTTTCCACAAAAAATGCCACAGGTCTTTTAATCAATACAAACTGAACTAAACAATGCCCTCATTTATGCCAATTCGAATATCAGAAAGTATTGTAGCATGTTCAGTTCGTTTATCAACTAAGGATGCACTTCAAACCAACACAAAGCAATATGTATGTTCAGTTCGTTTATCAACTAAGGATGTATATACGCGTACTTCAAACCAACACAAAGCAATATTTAAAACATATCAGGAAGGGTTTCATATTCATCATATGTACATGATTTTATCACATAATGACCGGTGTCATGTCATTTTGTTTAGCGTATTAATCCATGTAATATGACCCATCAGCCCTGTGAATGGTTTGTAAGTTTCAATTCGTTCAATTGTGACGTCACGCGTAGGACAAGTACACGACGTCAGAGACATACACACTGGATTCAAAATGGCGGCTTTTTACATTTCAAGGTTGCATGAAAATTATCATTTTACACGAATATACGCCACAAATATTGATTATGTGATAAAAAGGATCTTACACTCGTTTTAATTTCATATGAGATTTATGAACAATTTCTCTGGCGAGATAAAATAAAAAATTCGTGACAAGTTTCATAAATTTCATATGAAATGAAAAAAAGATCTTATATATATGAAACAGATTTTAATATACAAACTGATGTGCACCGAGTCACAATGATTGCTTACCATCACGAGGCAAGTAACGATAGACCATGAACAAGTTTTATAAACAATAATGAAAATATGAAAAAAAATCCATAAGTAAGAATCATGATAAACCAGTAAGTTTGTTGTTTATAAAACATATTACACCAGCGCAGAAATAATTCCTATTTACAAAACATGTCATGAAATCAACATGCTGTAGTGTGGTCTGTACAAGTTACATCACTCCTATGTCGGTTGTTCTACTCTGTGATGCCTTTAGCTGCTAACTCATCCTGCACACGTGACAGGTAGGTTGGATCGGGGTATCCAAATCTACAATGACAACAACAGCTCATAAGAGTAAGATAATAACATGTACATGTACATCTTCGTGGTCTTAATACTGAATTGACCGCAGCTATTTAACCAACCTGTGTCTTGAGTTTTTACATTCTATATTGAAACATCAACCAGTAACCCAATTGTTTCACAATCTAACCAAATTGACTATAAAGACATAAAATGTCGAATGAACAAAGGTCTATTGCACAGTTCCCACTTGTCAGTAATATTACTTATATTTGACATGACTGTAATTTCATTTTAAGTTCATTAAGGAATAATACGTAATACAAGTAATCTACAAAATACTTGAAATCTTTGTTTTCATTTAATTTAATTGTGTTTGCAGAAGTAAAAAGAAATTACAAAACAGAAGAAGCAAAACGAATAACAATTCATGATGATAAATAGCTTACCTAATAATGAAGGCTAGCATGGAAATGTCAGTATAAAGTTTAAAAATATATGAAAAAAACCCACCACCTAATAGACAGAAAAACAAACGTCGAGCCGCCAAATTAAGATACAAGTAACCATGGACAGGGGTAAAACAAGGTATACTGCATTTGGCATCCATCATGACGTATCCTGACATAGCTGTTGAAAGTTCGCTGCTAAGCAATGACCTTAGACGTCATAAACTGATTTCCTTCAGAATTTCCTTGACTCCAGTAATTGTTTCCTGAGGAATCTTGAGGAATTTTCTTAAATTGGGGAATGTTTGAAAAAAATGGGGCCTTAATGAGTCTTTCCTTACAAACAGAATGAAAATATTCAGAAAAGCCTAATATACCATAAACAAATTTTGAAATAAAGCAACAACTAAGACATCTTGGAATTGATTTGGTGATACTTCAACAGAAATGTTTACGATTATGAAACTACAGCAGTAATGTTTATTATCCAGCTTGGTCAAAATAGAACAAACTAATATTTTTCAGAAACAAGAGGCCCAATGGGCCTGCATCGCTCACCTGGTATAAAACTCACACTTGTAACCTTAAAAGTGATCTAAAATAAAGCTACAGGCAAAATATCAGTATTTAAGATTAAAATTCGTTCAAAAGACCCTGTTAATTTTTTTTAAAACATTTCACCCCTGTAATTGAAAGTCGAACAAAGTCATTATGTTGAACACATTGTATAGCCTTTCATCTCAGGATGGAACTTGCAAAGTATAAACATCCTGGGACCCATGGTTATTCAGAAATGGTTGTTTAAAGATTTTAAACAAATTTGACCCCTGTGACCTTGAAAATAGATGAAGGACTTTTATTTGAACAAACTTGATAACCCTTTATCCCAGCATGTTACTGGCCAAATTTATGCACCCAAGGCCTATTGGTTATTCAGAAGAGGTTGTTTAAAGCTTTTAAACAAATTTGACCCCTGTGACCGTGAATATGAGTGAAGGTCATTTATTTGAACAAACTTTGTAGCCCTTCATCTCAGCATGCTACTGGCCCAACATCATCACCCTGTGCATTTTGGTTATTGAGAAGAAGCTGTTAAAAGTTTTTAACATATTTGACTCCTGTGACCTTGAATGTAAGTCAAAGTCATTCACTTTAACAAACATAGTAGTCCTTGATCCCAGCATATGCTACTAACTAAATATCAACATCCTGAGCCTTTTGGTTATTCAGAAAAAGTTGTTTAAAGTTTTTAACATATTTGACCCCTGTGACCTTGAAAATAGATGAAGGTCTTTTATTTGAACAAACTTGGTAGCCATTCATCCCAGTTTGCTTCTGGCCAAATATCCTCACCCTAGGCCTTTCGGTTATTAAGAAGAAGTCATTTAAAGTAAAATATTGGCGCCGGACGACGGACGGACGACGGACGCCGCACCACGGCATAAGCTCACTTGGCACTTCGTGCCAGGTGAGCTAAAAATAACTTACTTTGCAGCACCACCATCCCGTTTGGTTTTGTGATGAATGTCATTCCAGGTCACCACGTCCTCCTGCCCAGTTGTCCTTGATGAACCGATGGTGAAGGTCAGACGACTGTCAAATGCCTTTTGCAGCAGACGTAGCACCTTCTGCCCTTCTCTATTGTCAGGTAGGAATGCCCGCCTTTCTGTGCCCTTGTAAGGCTTTCCAGGTTGTGGGTGATTTTCCTTTAAGAAAAACAAATGCTAGTTCAAAAACTTAAACATGGAACACTTGATTGAAAATTCATCATAACTTTTTATCAATGTTCATAAAATGGTAGATATTTCCGTTTTTTTCGTCAGATAGCAGAAGTCTCAAATACAGTAATACTTTTCGGTCCCATCAATAAACAGAACATATCGCGTGTTTACGTTTTTCAATCTGCAAGCTCACCTGTTGAATTCCATCCTGGAATTTATATTTGATCTCTATGATGCCATAAGCTTCATAGCTTGGCAGAGAGTGATGTGTATTTCTTGTCACAGTCATTGTTCCATCTGTTGGTTGGTCTCCCTCTAGCTCTCCAAAAATCTTCCCACAAACAGGACAAGCCGGCTTATGTGCCATTGACTGCATTATACAATCACCACAAAAGACATGACCACACGATAGCTTCTTTTGGTCTGTGATTGTGTCCATGCAAATCACACAAGTTACATCCTCTTCACTTTCTGCTGCCGTTGCTCCTTCGACTTCTTTGCAAATCGCACAACTAGGATTGTTCTGCATTGGAATGAAACACGGAATGGAACAAAACGAATGTCCACAAGCCAGTCTACTCACATTGTCCGATTCCAATTTTGTATCACAGGCGGCACAAATATTTTTCTGAATCCTTTTGCGAACAACAGGTTTTTGTGTCTTGCATTTCTCCTTAAGTTGCAAGTTCTCTTCTTCTTCACGTAATTCATTTTTCACAAGTGCTTTATTCCCACGGAAGTTTGGCCCACCACCGTTTGTGCTTAGAAAACCTAGGTCATCAATGGCCTTGTTGTAGGTGCCTCCATCTGAGGATGTCTTTTTTGGTAGAATCATTGATTGTGTATGTCTTTGGCCTTGCTTCACTGACGCCCAGTTTCCTACTTCACCTTGCCCTCGATGTGTCTTCAGTTTTGTGCCATAACTGCTTTCACTAAAACTATTTGCTTCCCCATGCTGTAGTTTCTTGGTACTTTTTCCTGCTCCTGCACTTGGTGCTGGTCCAGTGGGCGTTTTTTTGATACTGGATAGGTGTTGGTTGAAGCAATCGACAAATGCTTGAGTGATTTCTGGTTTTCGGTTCACAAAATGGATCTCTCTCAGCGATCTTCCTGGTCCACTTTTTAAGCGGAAATCCATGACTGCCTCATACAATATGTCGCACATTTTCCTAATGCTTCCTTTGTCATGCTGAACAAATCCTTCAAAATTCAAAAAAAAAAGTAAACATGAAGTTTATACATGCACGTGCATAAAGTATATTGATTTTGATCATGCTTGATGTGTTTTAAATTGCTCAAGACATGATGCATATGAAATTTATAGCGATTATCTGAATGATTTTTGCACTTAATGTACCAAATGTATAGCAGGTCAATTTTTATTCATGGTGTAACTTCAATGTTAACGTCACACTGCCCTCTGTGCAAAACGCAGTACTTTCCTCCTGACGACATCCATACTCTGCATCAATGAAATAATTTTTTTGGGGTAAATATGTGGTCATATGGACCTTAGAAAGTGTTACTCTCAGGCCCATATAACGACATAAATGTACCACGCAAGAAAGTGATATTGACAAGAGTCGAAGTGATGCTGACCTCGACTTCGCCTTCGTCAATATCATTTTCTGAGGTCAATTAAACCACATAGGTATACTGACCTCGACTTTGTCTTGGTTAAGTTATCACATTGTCAGGTCCATATAGCCGCTAGTTAATTATTAACCTCGACAAAATTGACAATTCATCATTACTTGTCCTCGTTATGAACATATATTTTAAAAGTCACTAATTTAATACTGCACACAGCGATGATTATGCACACTCAATGTTAAACATGCAAGTTCATACAATTTGTGATTTTCAGACCAGGATACATACACATTACTTACTAAATTTGCAGCCAAATTCTGCGGCAAAACGTAGAGAACGGCATTGTAAACAGTAAACGTGACTAAAACATGTGAAACACAGTTCATAATTACCTCCAGCTAAAAGTGGAAGAGCAACACTTCTCATCTTCCATCCACTCATTGAATGCAATCCATTCAAAATAAAGTTTTTGTAATCAATCAGACTTTGATGCTGTGTGTCAACAAGTTGTTCAATTACTATGTGAACTACATGTGTCACTGCCAAATGCCCAGCAGAGCACACGAAAGCCTGGCCTTTGATGGCCTTTGAATGGTATTTTTGCTTCTGGGATGAGAAACTGGAATTGTATCTGTAGCCGCCAGCATCAGCTACAGCTTCTGAAAGAGGACCAAGCCCTGAGAGGGAGGTATCTGCTGTGCAAACAATTGCATCAAGACTTTTAACTTTTGTAATGCTACCAGTGTAGATCTTAACACAGAACGATCCATCATCTGTCTTGTAGCATCGCACTTTATCCATTAGTCCAGGTATTGATTCATCAGGACCTTTGGTCCATTGCTGTTCATGTAGGGGGCTTGAACCTTTCCCAGAAAAAGTTGTTACATTGCCACCAACCCCGGCGGCTGATCCTCTGAGTGACATTGATTTTGAAAAAGCGCTTCTTGGTCTGACCAATGATTCCTGCTTTAGCAGTTCACTTGGCTCTATAGATTTCTTATCCTTCTCCCAATTGCTGTACGCTTTCTGTATTTCGTTAAGTATATCATCACTGATGTCAACTATGTACAATGATGTTAGCCAAGAAACACTCTTTGGCTTTCGACAGAATTGTGTGATTCCCTTAATGTACATAGCAGCACACAAAGACTTGGGTATTCCATAAATACCTGCAAAATCAAATAGAATAGTATAAGATTCCACGTATATAAAGCTAGTTTTGCAGGAAAAAACTGGAAAAAAAATAAAACAAGAGGCCCATGGGCCTTAACGGTCACCTGAGTCTATAGTATTTATTTTTGTTGTTGAAATATGTACCAATTTGAGTAAAAAATAGTATAATGTTAACTTAACTTTGTCAGGACCATGAGCTGATCATTCCTAGACCAATTTTAAGTGAGATCGGCCTATTAGAACTTAGTAGCAAAATAGCGGCCATGGCAGCCAAATTGTATTTCTGATTGACCCGAAAAATAACAACACTTTGTCAGGACCATGATTCGATCATTCCTACAAAGTTTCAGTTCAATCGGCCAAGTAGATCTTTACTTTAAGTTTGAAATAGTTT